AGCGATACAAGGTTACCAGTTGTTTTGTCTGAGTACTCTCAGGACGTGGAGTCACTGCTGGACCTTCTTAACCACTGCTGTGGTGTTGCCCGACCAGGAGTGGTTTACTGAGATGTGGGTCACCAAGAATTTGAAGTGGTGCAGGGGCAGCCTTACTCTTCCTGTAGTCTATGACCATCTTCTTGGTTTGTAGGGTGTTGAGTGAAAGGTTGTTCTTGGAACACCACACTGCCAACCGATGCACCCCGTCCCTGTATGCCGACTCATCCCACCAGAGTAGTGTCATCGGCATGTTTGATGATGGTGTTGGTAGAGCGAGAGGAGGTGCAGTCACAGGTGTAGATGGGGAATAGAAGTGGGCTCAGCACACAGCCCTGTGGCATGCCAGCGTTGGGTATCAGGGTGGAGGAGCTGTGTGCATCAATCCTTTCAGACTAAAGACGATTGGTAGTTGAGCTTTTTGGAACCGGGACTATAGCTGCCGACTTGAGGCAGGGTTGTACCGAGGCTTGTGCCAGGGAGAGATTAAAGATGTAGGATAATAAATAATGTCTAACTTGTTGCAGAAATAGTTGGATTGTTTTTGATGTTCAAATTAAAGCCAATACCTGTTTACAACAAATTCAAAGCAAAATCTCAATGGGAAGTACAGTAGATACTTTCAACTGTCTTCAGAAATGTTCTGTTTTGCTTTGTACAATACGTATAGTACTTTTTATTTGGACTGTTTTGTATAAAATTAGGTTTATGTTCTGTGTGAGGCCTGAACAAGCTCAACAACAGTTAATCTCTGCTCATTCAGGGATTGAAATCCTTGTTTTAAAACCAGATTGGGGTGAATTATGTCGACAATCCTGGGGATTTTGCATTTATTGTTTCAGCATCTGGCAGGTCACCAGCTGCTGCATCACGACCTCGGTGAAGCATTAGGTTTCTGCTACAGGATTATCCTCCGGGCTTCTCATCTCAGTATCTTCTCTCACAGCAGGTTGACATGTTGTGTTTGGACAGGTCAGTGTGAGTGTGTGACAGATAAATCCAGATCATCAAATCATTGTTGAGCTGTAGCTGCCCTAAAAACAGGAATTAACTTGTATTTATCATGCATGTGCTAGAACATAATGCACAGTGTTTCGTAGGAATGAAACATGTGACCGGCCCGTGATGCTGTTGTTCTGCTGCCATGTGGAACAACAGGGATGATGTTAGCGGCTGAGTGATGCAGTGCTTGTGTTTTTCAACAGGAACAGATTGATACTTACTGCAATCAGGACCTCTTCCCACCTCTGATCCCACTCACTGTGATGGTTGTGTTATCGTAAAATGAGACTATGATTTAATACTTTTAATATTTAAAAAAATACTTTTAATAAATGTTTTTACCTGGTGCAGAGTTCAGTCTAAATGAACTCAGACATATAAAATCACATAATTGAAAGGAAAGAGACTCATTCATGAAGCTGATTGGGATCAAGAGTGAATAATCCAAACCTGAAAGAGAACAATGACTGTAAAATCAGACTGTTTGACCACTTCTGAAAAAGATGCCCTATTTAAAAATAAAACAAACTTGACTGGCTTTTAAAAAACAAAATTAAGTTCATTTTTTCACAATACTTGCCCTATCTCTGATTTGTATGTGATCATGTTGTGTTTACTGACACCTAGTGGTGGAATTTGAAAATGGCAAGGAAAAGAAGGCTCTGTGGACCTCAAGATATATTTTTTTAAATTGAGATTTTCTGCTGCATTTGCACCTCCCATCCACCTACAAACATACGATGCCGTTTCGATGACATTGAATAAAAAATTTCCTCACTTGGCCACGCGATCATTTTGAGCTTTGTGAAAGATACAGACATTGTTGGAGCCAGATTTTGAATATATTGTTTTTGTTTTGAGCTGGTTAAAGTTAGCCTACCCACACATTATTATTATTATTATTATTATTATTATTATTATTATTATTATTATTATTATTATTATTATTATTATTATTATTATTAGGTTATTTATGAGATGACCATGAAGGCCTAGGTGTGGGTCAAGAAACCGATTTTTACTGTGTTCCTGAACACAACAAGGCCAACTTTTTCCAGAGCCAAGGCTTGGTGTGAGAGGAGAGGATGCTTAGCATTATTTACTACCTAATGTCACTGAAGTATGTCATTATTTTTTATATTAAAATAAAATGAAATTAATTCAAACTTGTCCATGTTAACAATCAACAGTCTCTACATGGCAATGACTGCAATAACTACCTTGTGGCCATGCATTATTAATCGTGGCCGTAAGAAATATGTTTTTATTTATCCAGTTTCACCTGATGGGCTCCATACAAACAGAATTTTTAGTGAGAAAAATAAAAATATACTGTATATAAACATTATTCTAAATGCTGGAGATTTCTTTTAAAACTCATTTAGTGCAGCGTAGGCAGGAGCTTTTCAGAAGTGATAACATAAAAGCTTGTTTTGTTCATGTCCACTGCTTTAGCCCAGTTAACATTAAGTTTAGTTGTTTTTTCCCCTCTGCAGTTGGATATTCTCTTAATATTTCAGTGATGCTGATAATATGCCTTTATCTGATAGGTAAAGGCATATTAATATAATTAAATTGTTGGGATTTGTTTTCTATCAGCAGTTTTTAGTTTATTACTTTCTAGTAATACATTTTAAATTAATCTATCAACTCAGCTAAAAAAAATCATCCTTGAGAAAACATCCAAAAATACAACATTTAACTGGTTAAGGCAAAAACCTGAAAAAAATCTTGGCTGTAACAACATCAGCAATGGTTTTAATAAATCTTTGGTTCTTTGTTGCTTGTTCCACATCTAAATCAAAGATTACTGAAAAATTCTAATTGGAAGCTTGAAAATTATTTTAAGATAACCAGTAGCTGATCATGTTTCACCTGAGTGCCAGTCAACATTTGATTTAAGAAAGACAAACTCCTAGAATCAGTGACATTCGTGGCAAAGTTGAACCTCTGTCTGTAAACATGCTGCTCCTGTTTATAAGGGTAAAAATATCAAACAATTACTATTTACTGCTGTGTTAATATATCAGCTACAACTAATCAGCAAGCAAACAGCATTTTTATTAGTTTGCTGAAGTGTTCACTCAGCTTGAACATATTCCTCAGGATAAACATGCAAGCTTTGAGGATGGTGACATTGTGAGACTTTTACATTCTAATGATACTCTAATATGACATTAGTAATTACATTTTAAAGAAGTAATTTTGTTTCGTATTCCCCTCAGGAGTGTCGTCTTGTACTACCAGCCTTCTGCTGTCCAGACATTCATGGCTCCCTCTGCGTCACCAAATCAGCTGAATCAGAGTTGTCCTTTTCAGCACATGTACCTTCTGTACAGGCTCTGCTAAATATAAATATTTAGTGCTGACATCTGGCTTCTTATGGTTTAGTTAATGCTTTTCCTTACTTTAAAGCTGCCATTTAACTGAATGTAAATATCAGTTTGAAATGTTTGTTCAGACTCCATGAATACAACAAAGATTAACAAACTAATTTAAAAAAAAAAGTTTATTTATGGTCCTGCCATTTGCATGAATCTGCTTCAGGCCTGATTATCAGACAAAGAGGAAGTGAGGAGACATGTTGTGTTGGCTGCTGTGCATCCCCCAGGCTGCAGTGTCAAATTTTTTTTTTTT